GCTTCCTGAACTGGGGACAGAAGGAGAGGGTACCAGGAGGCACTTTTTAAGTATTGAGTGAAACAGGTTTGATTAACCAAGAATTTAAATAACGTAAACACGCAGTGCATACTTCCCACAGAAAGATAGAGAATAAGACATAGGTGAATACAACACAACAAAGATTTATGTGTGATTAGATAAAAGCATGAATATGGTGATGATGATGGTGTGAATAGTGATAAGTGTGTGTTTTGTGTGTGTGTGTGTGTTGTGTGTGTGTGTGTGTGTGTGTGTGTGTGTGTGTGTGTGTGTGTGATTTAATGGAGGTTAAGCATTGAAGTTCCTTCAATGTCTTTTGTTTTATGTTGAAACTTGACATGATTCCTATCAGAGGGAGGGGCTTGTCAGACGGGGAGGACCGAAGCTTGAAAGTGGAAAGTAGAAGTCATGACTATGTCAGACTGCCAGACGCCATTTTACCAGCTTGACAAACAAAAAGCACAAACAAAACACAAAGAAAAAAGAGAAGAAAAAAAAAATGATAATTAAACAACAAAAAAGAAAGAAACAAAATACTATATACACATACAACAAATATTCATAAACAAAAAAAAAAAAAAAATATAAATAAACAAAAAAAAAAAAAAAACAAAAAAAAAAAAAAAAAAAAAAAAAAAAAAAAAAAAAAAAACAACAACATAAAGAGAAATATAAGATAATAAAAAAAAAAAAAAATTAAATATAAAATAAAAAAAACAACAGAGTACATAAAAAAAAAAACAAAAAACAACAAAAAAGAGTCCATCAGACTTACTGACAACAGCATAGAACGTAGAGACTCCGTATTCAATGGGCAGGGTGCTGAATGAGGAACAAAAAACACTCACAATCCTCTAGAGGCCGAGAGAGAGGAAATACAGGAGGGAGAAGACTATCTTTTTTCAAATATAATAAAGTAAAAAAATAGCTAATCAATACATGATAAGCACTTAATAGAGTGAATTGCCAGAGACTACAGATCTAAGGGGTACAACTCTAAACACCCATATCGAAAAGATCGGTTTACATTTTAATAATCAAATAAGTATGTGGACATAACCAATAACCTAACATAGCCAATAACAAGTCAATGTAACTTATTTTATTTTTGTTGTTCATTTATTTCTTATTTTACCAGTTAACATTTATTTATTTATGCATATTCTTTAATCTCTCCAGATTTAAACAATATTTCTGGTTTACTGTCCTATAGTATGCACTGGAATGATTTCAAACCTGTTTTTATTTATCCCAATAATTATAAAGGTTGCCTTGGAAATATTTGTTTACATAAATTGTTAACAAACCGTTTGAGACCCTCTGAGATAACTTAGACTAAAGTGAACTATCTAAACAGTCAGTCCTTTACCTCACTGAGCCTCTCAGTCTGTCTGGCTATCAGTCCTGTCCAGATAGCTGATATCTGTCCTGTGTGTGAGCTGCGGGCGCCTGATAAGCCAACATCCCCCATTTTCATCGTACAGGGCAAATGGAAACTGTAACCGGGGTGAAAAGGGTGTTATCTTTACTTAATTATGAATGTTGTTACATCAGGGCTGAAAATTCGTTTTTTTGTATTATATTTCCATTTAATCTTGTGGACGTGCAGATTCCCTGTCCTCCATCAGGGGGTGCTGCAGCACCCTCAGCACCCCTACTTCCCACGGCCCTGTTTCCCGCTCAAACAAACAGCTTCACCCGTTTCCCAGGAAATCTTGATAAAACTGGAACTGACTTGTTTGTGTTCTGGAGAAGTGACACAGACACAGGACATATCTTGATCGGCACCAAGTGAAGATGCTGATCAAAAGTTCCTCCATTTACAATATTCTTTTTGTTTTATTATAGGAAATTTATCGAAAAGGGCTACATTGACAAAGACAGAGTTGCTATTTGGGGCTGGGTAAGTTTTAAGAATAGCATGAAAACAGTTAGAAGTGCATTCAAATAAAAAGTATTTCAAAATCAAACAAGTTTTTTTCCTTAAGCATAAATGTGTTTTCATGCTTCATAGGGCAATACATGTGTCAGAAATGGAGTTAATGTTTCACCCTACAGTCAGTACGTCTTCTTTACTTAAGGCTACAGTAATGAGCTGTTTGTGTCTCTCAGTCTTATGGTGGATATGTGACGTCAATGGTATTGGGATCTGGAAGTGGAGTTTTCAAATGTGGAATGGCGGTTGCTCCAGTGTCCAAATGGGAATATTATGGTATTTTCTGTCTTTTAAACTAATTTCTTCATGTTAACAACCATCCCATTCCTGACACACTATTAAATATATGTTTCTTCCAGATTCCATCTACACCGAGCGTTACATGATGGAGCCTTCACAGAACTCTTTGGCCTACACTGTACGTTTGACAGTCTTACATTTTATCATTATTAATTATGCTATTGCCTGTCCCCATAAAATACAAATATGATTGTGTGCAGAACTCGACCGTAACTGAAAGGGCCAAGAATTTCCGTGCAGTGCAGTATCTACTGGTTCATGGAACCGCTGATGGTGAGTTATGAATGGCCACAAGCATTTATTTTTGACATATTGACCTTTGGTCTCACACCTCCATCAGATCCAACTCTTTGAGCCATGAAGTTAAGAAAGAAAAAATCCGTGGCGACCCCCTGACATTTCTGGATCCAAATGGGCAATTTGCATTGTGTTAATACATTTTCTGTTGTGTTTTCTAGATAACGTTCATTTCCAGCAGGCAGCTGAGATCTCTGAAGCTCTGGTGGAGGCGCAGGTTGACTTTGAGGCGATGGTGAGTCATTTGGAAAATTAATATTGAAGGAACAGGAGACTGTCACTGTTTTTATATAACATTAGAAAGACTGATTCTTATTATTACATTATAAGCTTATTGACTTTGGAATAAATAGACTCCCCCCAAGTTTTGATGGGGAGGATAGGAACGAAGGGAAAAGTCACATGAGAAAGTGTTTAGCTTGCAATATTGAAAGTAGCAAGGTCAGGTGCAGGAACTGAGAACACAAAGAGGTAGTCAGAACAGCACATCACACCGGCCTTGAATTGAATGGGTATGGTATGGTGAAAACAAATTACGTATGACAGTGCCAGAGTAGGGAGGGACTTCCACAGGCCGGCCGAATGCTGATTTGAAGGTTGTGTTGCTAAGAGACTATCTGAGTCTGCGCACCAACCAAAGAGAACCAAGTCTAAACCATGGTATCTCTTCATCTAGTCTTGACCAATCATAAATGTACGGGCAACGCCCTGTGTAATAAAATGTATTGTCGCACGAGGTTCGAGGCTCCTTACGGATATGGTGCTGACAGATTACAGCTTTGTCTGTGATTGCTATGAAGTGACGGAGTCCTTGGCCAAGTTACAATAAATAGTTAAACTTAGAAGTTGTCTTTCTTTTCTGGAATTCTGAACCCAACATCACCTAAAATAATAACATTTTTACCCTTGTCTTTCAGTGGTACACAGACAAGGATCATGGGCTTACAGGCGCAGCCAATAAACACGTCTATACCCACATGAGCCACTTCCTAAAGAGGTGCTTTGCTTGAAGTCCGCCTCATGTGAATAAAAAGGGATACTTCATTTGATTTGAAAGGCACATTTCGTTATTAATGCCAGGAAAGTACAAAATGGGTTAAAGTCATATTGTCATTCTGTGTCGGTGTTGTGCTGAAATCAGTCAGAAAAAAACATTATTACTTGTAACTAAATGAAAAATGTGATTTATTTTTCAAAGTTTGTTTTGTAAATCAAATGTAAATTGGTCCTGAAATGTACTTGTTTTACTTGGGTGAGTTTCTTTATTAATGAGATGGTTGTCTGTTTGATGTAAATTAATTTTGAATAAAAAAATGTTTTGTTTGAGATATCATGTTCTTTATTCTGTTAAACAGGATTACTGCGTAACAATGATCATCTTTTTTATATTAGTACAGTCAACAGCTATGCTAGTGGTTCAGTAAGGAAGTGAGAAAATGCCAACAAGATGTATCACACAATTGTGATAGTGATAATTTTGACTATCAGTTGTGCCAATGAAATGTCAATTATAAAAGGGAACAACCCATTATAGATAGTAATAATTCATAATAATTCATAATTATA